CACTTCCCCTCAAATCCRAAGGAAAAATCCAAATGCAAAATGAGAAAAGACACTTTTTGATCTCGTGGACAAGCCGGGCTGTCTGCATACCTTTCTGTTCATATCATCTTTTTCCACTGGTCACATTCCATGGTCTTCTTCCCCCATACTGAAATATAAAACCTTCAGCTTCCCACAGCTCCATAGTACCTCCTCTCAAAGCACATCTTTGCCAAACTGAAGGCTCTTTGGGGCTGGGACCAACTTTTCGTCACCTATGAGACGCCAAATACATTTTTTGGCCACAGGGWCTACAATTCTTGTAGAATGACCTCAAATAGTTTAAGCTAGACCACATTTCATGATTCTGATTTCTGTTTAATTGGGGACATTCCTGGATTTTCCAGTGTGACAGAAAGAAGGATTTGCACCTTGTTCTTGGCTTGAGAGAGTATGAGATAGAAAGGGTAAAAAAGGATAAATTAAAAGCTGAAACCATGACTTTACAAAGATGAATAATTGTGGATTAAGTGATGCATTTTATTTTTACTCAATGATCAGCATGAGCAACAGCACTGACTATCAAGAGAAGCAAAAATAATGCACAAGATAGAAAAATATGCAACCTTGTAATTTAAGAGAAAAGATAAATTAAAAAGCATGTCCCTAATTCAACTGAGATGCTTTGCTGCTTAAATACTTGGTTCACTTTCTTCCTCATTTCCACAGGCTGTAGAATTTCAAATGAGCTAGGATGAAGGCACTTAAGAAAGATTTGGGGATCTCCTACTCAGGCAATGGGCAGAACTCCTGAGTGCTCGTTTTTCTAGTGTCTGCTTATATAGGGATATTCACAAAAAAATGCCTGAAATAACTAAAGGCTTATATTCAAAAGAGATTCCTAAAAACTGCACTGAACTTGTACTTAGCGGCTGGATGCTCTTGACAAAAATTAACTGGCTTCATTCATTCAACTAAAGTTATTTTGGAATAAGACTAAACAGATTAATAGGATTTTATTTATGAAGGTTCCCTCCATTTCGCCTGACCGCCTCCATTTAGCTTCAAGGCAGCTGAGAAGAACAGGCTGATTATGTCTGGCCTCAGCTATTACAGTAATATTCCAGCAATATTTTTGAGCCATCCTTCCCTTTACAAACCTAAAAGCCACTAGAAGTCAGCAGTGCTTTGACCCACACAGGTATTTCCTCCTCTGTTCCAAGCTACAGATGTTTATGTTCTGTTTTACATCTCCCTCGATGTTAGATCACAGCATTTAGAAACCTTGCAGAACTGGGAATTGCCATTTGAATCTTTTTCGTTTCTTTCTTTCTTTCATGATTAAAATATCATCACTTATCCCTGTTCCCCATTAAAGTCCGTTTTCTGGAAMGGGCTCAAATCTTTGGTCCACAGTCACAATTAACTGAGCAATTCATATTCAGAGTTGTATTTTTGGAATGGTAAGTATTTAATGCAGTGTGTATGCAAATCTGATCTTATACATCAAACAAGGTATTAGTGTTCTACGTCTTAATATGCAAATATCAAAATTTTATAATCACTTTCCTCTGGGACTCAGTATCAGGCAGATTTTCCACTAATTATCATCATAAGACAAAGTTTACGTAATAAGGCAGCTTTTTCTCCAGTGCTTGATTTCTGTGGGTCACAATGARTAGCTGACCACAAAGGCTGCTCAAAGATAATCAAGCAAGAGAATATTTCAAATTAGAAAGGCACAATATTATTTAAATAACTAAGGAAAAAGAATGGGCTTCTGCTTAGCTCTTCAGAAGGAAACCCAGAAGTTCCCTATCAGCTTTTTTTAGAGCCCTGCTATGTACTCCCTGATTTCTCTGAAGAGTCCCAGTGACCTGAGCAGGTTTTGCTCAGTCTTTTCCTCCCCACTTTTCTATTCCCCTCCTTAAACACAAGAGATGAAATGCCCAGGCCGTGTCCTTCTGCCTGCTCTACAATACCCAGCTCAGGGTATTCCGACTACTACTGGAGCCATTAAATGCAGCCACAATAAACCTGTCCTATATCATAACCCGAGTAATCTCACAAAAGCAGCTCCAAAATTCTTTCAAGCTTATGAATGCTGTTCTTGACACAACTACATTGCTCATATATAAATCCTTATATATTTATGACAAATAAATATATTTATGATAAACAGACATTCATATGTGAACTCGTTTACAAGTTACACGGACAAGCACTTTGTGGTATATGGCTCTCTTCAATATTAATGACCAGAGTCAATCATAAACCCTTTATGTTTCCCTAGCAGGAAGGTTAAAATTCAATTCTCTCCTACTGTAGTTTGCAAATATAATATACTCTCCAGCTAGCTTGGAAAAGCTCTTCAGTTAAATCATCATGCACAACATTGCTTCTTAGTCTCTGCCACTTCCCTTCTCAACAACACAATGACAATCCTGCACTTTACTGGGTATTTATTAGTCTGTTCCTTAAATGGGATATTCATTTTACAGGGTATTTATTTTTCATTGCAACAACCAAGTAGACTGTTTTTTGGGGGAAAACTATGCTTCTAAATGTCTCCTAAAGACTTTGAGCAAATGCTGTTCTTTGTACTTCTCCCCAGTCTGTATACATTGCTCAGTAAATCAGTTCCTTGGTTCTTTTTGTCTTTTGGGGGGTTTGAAATATTGTTCCTAGCAGAAAGTAAAGTGATGTGTTAGCATAGCAGTTTGCTGTGCTATTGAGCTGAGGCAGGAAGCCCAGAAAACTAGAGGAAAATGATTCATTGAAATCTATAACCCTTCCCTCTGCCCTCACTACAGCTCCATAGCAAGAGATTATTCAGATTTTTAGAATAACTACTTATCTACCCGTGGACAGTGCTGGTGCCTGCTGAAATGCTAAAAAGACCCACGCTTAATTACTTTTCTGACTCAATTCTTTTTGGCCAACTCAGATTTTGAAGGAATCCATTATAGTTTATCCTCCAACAAAGGAAAGTAAATGGACTATGGGGAGGATCAAGATGCTCCAAAGGGTGAGAGAGGAAGAAAGAGGGTAATTTGTGTGCCTCATCATAGGCTCCTTTAACAGCTGAAATTCCTCAAAATGGGCCAACTGCTTTTGCAGCCAGCATGGTAGCACCCAAATCCAGTCYGATTTCCTGGTGTCCTTGTGACAGGGCTGCCCTGTGGCAGTCCTCCCTGTTACCCAAATATTTGTCTCTTTTTGACTCGGTGCTCCTTGGGACAGGGYTGCATCCTTCCTGCTTCTCAAGAGTTAATGCACACATGCCTAACGCACGGTTATTGTATACAATAAGCTTAAAATTCAAGGCATCAGTGTTAATTCTTGTTTTCTATGACTCAACAAATTTGTTACCTAGAGGAGCACAAGACAAACAAACAAAAAATAAAGGTCACATTTTCTATCACGGGAGTATCTTGCTGTTTCCTGGAAGCCCACTGATGCTGGCACCAGTATATTGTGGGCAGTTTCCTCCTCCCCTCCAAGATGTTATTTTTGGGAAGGCACAAATGGGTCCTGTTCCAGCCACATCCATGGGGCAGGAGGACTTCACATCCTCAGCATTTTCACAAGCAGAAATGACAGCACGGAAAGACACTGAACAATAATTATGGTGCTGAAGGGGAATTACAGAGAACTGCATTAACACAGAAYTCCCCACAAAACTGCTACCTAGCTAATAAAATATTTTCCTGAAGGAAACACATGATTTTCGTTGCTGTTTTCAGGATGCCTGTCCTTGACTGCCCTTTCCCTAAAGGATCCCATTAGCAGCCCCACAGAATTCATTAGGCCTTTGCCTCGCAGGCCGGGATTTCCGAGTGCTCTGGGGCCGGATAAAGGACTTGGGAGGCCTCAGGGCCGTTACTAACAGGGTTGCACCTCCGCTCTCCGGCACGAAGCTGCCRCCCTCATCATGAGGCCTCAATGTCCCCATGCGTCTCTGAGAAACTCTCCTTGGCCAGAGAGTTTGCGAGGAATGACTGATATAACACCTAGTCTTCAGAAATCTTAATTAATTATCCCTTGGGGATATGTCAGGGCTCCTACACAGAGGAAGGAAGTAGCACATTTTCACTGCRATGGTGAAACACGCTGTTTTCACAGACACATCCCGTGTGCTTAGGCAATAATTGGTTCAGGTCAGAGGAGGTCGGTACTGAGCGAGCACAGCAGCGACAGGGGCTTTTCTCCCTTCCTGTGATGTTGGAGCGACCTGCAGTCCGGCCCAGAAAACCCCTGATCTCTTTAATAAATATGATCWCTTTAATGAGGTTTTTAACGTGTCTCCTGCTCTTTCTACCCCTTTCTACCCTTTATCATTATTCTTATTTCTCCTACGTCTACCAGCCTGGTGCCCCCTGACACTTATTTCTCCCATGATGGACAGACTACAGACAGCTGGCAAGGGCAACAGCCCCTTCTTAGGAGCCTGTCAGACTGAAGGCCCTGGGTTTATTCCAGAACGTTAAACCGTGAAGTTTCAGGCTGCTGCTTTCAGGTTGCACCGAGGGCTGGCACCCTCTCCTCGCAGCGAGGAAACCCCTTCACTCGTACTTCCGAAAAATACATCAAGCTCTAGCAAGCAAACAAAAATATTCCTCAACATTTGAAAATACATTAGCTTGAATTTGTAATGCAAACTCAAAATCTCTCTGAGACATWAAAAAAACCAGAGGTTTGCTGCAAATCCAACCACAAGTTACAGAATGCAAACAACTTGCACAATAAAGGACTGAAAAACCAGCTGAAGGCAACCCCAGCCCCTTTGCCTTTAAAATGCCATGGAAGGCTGTCACCAGAGCACCTTATCTGCTCCCGCAAGCTGCGACTCTTCATCCTTCCCTTATGAAGCCCCAGGGGATTGCTTGCTTAGCATCCACCAGAGGCAACGCACAGGGCGCGCGGGCTCCGCAGCCGGGGAAGCCCAGCACGGAGCCAATGCACCCAGGCTCCCCGTGCAGACACCGTGGAGCTGAGCCCTGCCGAGCAGAGAGCCCCTCCGGCCGGCAGAGCCACGTGCGCCCGGGAGGACGAGCCACTCTCGCGCCGCTGAGAAAGCAATGCAGTAAGTGACTCTGCTATTGCAGCAGGCACCGGCTCCGGAGGCGAGGAAGGGACCCAAGCCTTGCAGCTTTGGCTGCGAGAATAAACAGCCTCTGGTCCACGGCCGGCGTCGGAGCTGCATGATTTTGTTGCTGTTGTTTCCAAAGCAAAGGAAGGAGCCGAGCTGCTAGGCAGGGACTAAGGGGATGCTTTTTGCGTTGCGTGCATGTGTGTATTGCAGGGGAGCGCTTGCTGCACGGTCCTGGGCTCAACTAGGGCTGCTGGGTTTGTAGCCTTTTCTGTAGTCATTTTTGGCAGTGTTTAAAGAGATATGCTGCTTAATAACTTAGCAGCAGCRCACAGCTGTGTGTTGTCTCTTAGTTCCACAGCACGGTTCCTATGCTTGGATGCAAACTATTCTCCACGCCAGCCCTCTCGTGCCGGATTTACAGCGACGGTGCCACTGGGTAACGAGAAATTGTAGATATTAACTATGTGAACGAGTGCGTGAATGAGTGCCTTGATGAAGCAAGTACTTGTATTTGACTTCATCGGGAATGGCTAAATTTCTAGTTGGAGTTAGAAACTGCAGTTTGGGGTTTTTTTTTTGGTAGGGAAGTGCTTCTGAGCAGGACTTTATCATAGCAGGGCTGTGGTTTCTTCTGATTTGAGCTCTCTGTTTCCGTACCCTGCAGACACAGGGRCTTCAGTGCGTAACGCGGAGGTGAGCGAAGGCACGAGCTAAAGTTTGGTTTGTAGGAAGTCAGATTTTTGCGTAGCTTGAAAGTGCTCAAGAATTTAGAGTCTGGGCAATAATTGCAGGCCTTTGGCAGAAACTGTGCAGAGTTTAAAGCAAATTTGACTATGCAGTTTCCTTTCTGCTAGTTTAGGGATTAATATTAAGCTGCTTTGCTTTGGTTTTGTGGTACAGGGGTACYGGATTACTTTTGTTATTGCAAATCACTGGAAAATATCTAGGAAAACTGCACTGTGGGAAAAAAAAGAAAAGATAACCTTCCTCATTCGTGTCGCTTTATGTCATTTTAGTTTTGTACAAAATTCATCATCACTTTGTTAAAAGGCACAGTTTTACAAACCAGGCAACTCGAGTTTCTGCTGAAAGACTTTTTGCAGGGATGCTGCTGGAGACACCTCTATCGATTAAGTCCTGAGAAGAGCTAAAGACACTGACAGATACCTTGGAATTAGAGTTCCRAGTTTTCACACCTTACAATTTAAGCAAATTTTCCTTAAGAGAACCCCTGTAACATGAAGTGCTACTAGGTTGCAATCAATAATTAATAAATGATAACTATTCTTTGGTACRTGCACAACTCTGAGGAGGAATAAGTCTACAATGAGGCCAAGCGTCATCAGAATCTGTTCTGCTCCCCTCTTCCCTTCCTCTCCTATCCCCACCTCTCCCAATTCCTTCTCGTCTTGAATCCAATATCTGTGCATTTTTTTACAGTAATGAGCTCCAAATCAGCATTTATCCCCAGTTTCCTCACCTACATATTCAGCAAAGTCAATAATGAACTTATATTCTAAGTAGATTATTATCAGATAACTCTGAGAGAATTATAAGCCTGGCATTGATTATCTATCATGTGGAAATATCAGGGATTGATCTGTAACCAGAACGTATTCAAATGTAGCCAGCTTTGATGACATCATCAAATACTTTCAGGTAAAAAAATTGCTGTAATTTAAAAAGTCACAGTTTACAAATAATTTTCTCCCTAAAAAGAGATGTATTTGGGCAGAGGAAAAGAAATGTAAATCATAGTTGACGTTGGAAAGATACTGGATTCATAATGAGAATCACAGAAGGAAAAGATGAAAAGATGATAGCGGTTTTTATGCTTCCATGTAATTCTGAATTTCTAATCAAAATGCGTGTCCTGAACCRGAAAGTTAGAATTATTTCCCAGACAGTATTGTTCATGTCAGAATTTAAATGGAAAACAGTAAGTAAAAATATTACAATTTTTCAACAGTCCAGAAATATATCAGCAAACAAGTGTTTTCAATTCTTCATTCAGTCTTTTAAAAAGAATTGTGAGGGTAATATTGGCAAGAGCTTTGATTCATAAGTCAAATCTCCTTTGTTCCAATGCAGTCTAATGGAGAGCCACACAAATGAAAATGTCCAAATATAAAATTATATTGCCAGTTATCATTTGCAAATCAATTTTAATTAACAGCACATTCTAAAGACTTATAATCACTTAGACCTCTTTAATTCCTATTGCTTTTTTTTTTTAATCACTTGTTTCCCTTGTAAAGGCATTGAGAAAAAAAATCTTCCCATACAGTATGAAAGGTGGCTGCTCCATCTTGTAGTTTAAGTACCAAATCCAAAGCCTCCAATACCAAACTGTATTAAAGAGTATACAGTAGATGGAGAGATTTTGTCCATAATTTGAAAGCACAATAGAAAAGCGTTGTGCTTGCAACAAGAAGCAATGATGCAGGCAACGTCACACTGGAAAATGTGGGGTTTAGCACATTATCAGAGATATATTTAACTATATTTGAATGAGAAGAGAAATTTTCTAGATGCTTGGAGCTATTATGTTAATAAAAACTTACAGGTAGTGATAGCCAAGATGTGCCATGTGCAAGGTTAATACTTAATTTCTGACTACAGAATAAAGAACATCATCTTCCCTTTCTGTTATTTAAATGTAGAGTTTGGGATGGCGTCTTAACTACTTAGATATGCTGAATAATAAACTTATTCATATGTAATGACTTAGAACATTTGCTTTATGCTGTGAACATCAGGATTGAATTTAATTAGGATTTTCATATATCCTTAGACAATCCACTTCTAACAACAAAATGAAGATGTTAAGTGTCGCTTAGAACTTAAACTTCTTACGGAAGGGAATTGCTTATTACTCCATAATAGTGACAACTCAGAATACTTTGCCACAATAGCTCTGTAAACCATCTTCACTTTTCAAACACACACAATTCCCCAGAACCTCGCTGTGCAGAAAGCAGCAGTGCAGCAGTGTTCAAGGAGGATTAAAGGACTAAGATTGAGTACTTTCTAAATGCTGCTGCTTGAGCTGGTGCTTTAAACAGCAGGGAGAAAAAAAAAAAAAAAAAAAGTACTTGCCTCTTCCAAGGGCTGTTTAAAAAGTAGAGAGATATGCACCTAAAATACACTTAGAGAGAACTTGCTAAGTGCCTTGCAAGGTATCTCCAAACTGCACCTGTAAGGCAGGCTGACCTTCAGAAGACACAGAAGAACTAGTTCATGTTTCCTGCACCTTATGTGTCTGCTCTTTAAAGCCATAGGCAGGAATTCTGGCATCTGGCTTTTTTTTTGAGGATGATCCAGTGCAGTGAACGTTAAAATAAGGCCATGAAAGTACAACATCCTAATAAACTTGATGATGGGTTTGACAGACTGCAAATCAGACATCTGATTTTCACAGAAACATCCGGAGGAAACTCCAAATGCTCCGTGCTCAGTACTGAATCCTCATGGATTAGTTCATGGAATTTTTAGTGATCTTCCCATCACTTTTGAACAGAAATACAGAGAAGGGAGCGTGTAAACTAGATAAAGGTTTGCCTGAACAGTGGCCACAAAGCTACRCACTGCTTCTCAGCATTATTTTAGCAGTTAAATTTCAGACCTACTTCATCCACTCTTGGCAAGCTTAAACCGCTGCAGGTCTTACCCATAGGTATTCAAAATTCATTACAGATAATGAGAGAAAGATCCATAACAAGAAAGGGCTCCGTATCCCCAGTGCCAGCCCGTACTTTGCCCAGACTAAAGGTTAGGAAACAAAACAGAGGCTGCTGAAAACACAGATGCTGTTTTTTTTTGCTAGAAACAGAGGACTCATTTCTTTTTAATCACAAATCAGAGTATTTTTTTTCCCCTTATTAAGGCTGTGCTTTATACCTTCAGTCAGGACTCATGGCAGGAAGGAACCACATGGTTAAGCAAGTCTGGAGTGCTGGTAGAAAGGCCTCCCTCTTCTCTCCTCCCTTACTGATTTCATGGAGAGAACTTGCCCCGTAATGGTCAGAGAGGTCCCAAGGAGTCAGAAACAAAAATATCAAAGCTCATCATTGATTTATCAAATGACTCATTTATTATAGGATATCTAGGGAGTCTTGGCAAGAAGTGGCACGAGGCCAGGAGGGGAGGTCACCAAGCTGAGAACTTGCCAGAGATGTGACTCCCATTATAAGAAGTCCAAGGGGAGAGTAATCCTTACTACTAACACACCTAAAACTTGAGTAATCCAAAACAAAAAGGACTGAAGTCTATAAAAATCTAAATACTGCATTGCTTTTGTCTTCCATTTTCTGGGATTCTATAGGATTCACACTTCAAAACTTGTATGCACCAGCACAAGAAAACATTTTAGAAAGATACATTTGATATCCTTGTAAAATCACCTGACAAGAAATACCTGCATCACCACATATAAAATTGCACAAGCTTAAAGTTAGATTTACTCTATATTTAGCAACACAGGTTTGCAAAACATTGTTTTGCTGCAATTTTTCTTCCTATTTTACAGCTCTCTCTCCATGTCTCAAGGCCAGGGTAAGTGATTCCTAGAAAAAGGAACTGAAGAATTTCTCATTGTCTACATGTGCAAGCTGCTAGAAAATACCATTTCCTGGATTATATTCTGCTACTGAGTTCACTATATCACCAGAGCAGCTCTGCAAGCCTTAAGCAAAAGGCAACGAGAGAGGAAATATTCACATAAAGCATCGATCCAAGCCTCGTTTAGCTCCAAATGTTTTTAAGAGATTTCTCCCTCCTCTTTTCCCATGTATTTTCCAAAATCCCCTCTGTATTTTTTTCTGTATTATATTCTCTGACCACTCAGACTATTTGCCCTCCATCGTAGCACTACAGCATTTACACTTCTCATTTCCATGTTCACCACTAGTAATTTCTGAAAAGAAGCAGAGATTTTCCTTTGCAGRAAATACTTGCCTTCATATAATTTTTCTACTGCCGAATCTTACTAA